ACGCGGTGAAATTTGCAAAATGCGTGAATCACGTTTTAAATGTCATTTTACGTAGATAATTTTTGATTCGTAGATAAAATTCGATTGGCTGAAAAAGAAAATGTTGCCATCAGTTGTTTTTCTTCGTGAGCTTTCGTGAAAATAATTTGAAGCCTGATAAAGTAAGAATATATATAAATATATATATATATATAGATATACTTTATGTATATATTATATATAGCAGCGGGCTTTAGCAGGCCTTACTTGATAAATTTACACATCTGCAGTCAATTCGTTGCTTGTGTATTCTGTTTTTGCCTGGAATTTGCGTTTTCACTCAACGCCGTGAAATATTTGAAACAGGTGAATCACGTTCCCAAAGGCATTTTACGTGGATCTTTGTTAAAAAAACGTTTGCATTCAATGGGTTGCAGACCCAAAAGATGCCCAGATTTTTCTTAGAGCTGTGAGAATATATTGACAGCTGATCGGCTGACACTTAAGACACATGCACCCATTTTCCACCCAGAAGCGTGGATTGAAAAAAGCTCTCAAACGCATTGGCAACATTGCGAATTAGCACAATTCTTCACTTTGTTCGTACAATTCGGAATGTTTGAATTTCCTGCTCAAACTAGAAGCTGTACAATAGATCAAAGTTTATACAACCCAAAGATAATATGCGAGTCTAAACAGTTGAGTTAATCAATGAGCACGATCACATTCTGATCGATGACTTCATTCAAAGTCAAAGGCGAATTGAATTTCCAATGAAAATTGTAACGAAAATCAAATGCAGATCGTTATCGCTAGCCTTAAGTTCGCATTGGGACAGTCAACTCGGAAAACTATGGGTTATCAGTGGACATTCTGAATGATGACATCATTCTGGCCAACAAAATGAAATTTCATGCCATAGCGTATATAGAAAATAAGATTAGATTTCAAATCGGCAACAAGCGATCAAAGATCACTTGACTTCTGTTGATATTGATCGCCATAGCACCCAATTCTTGAATTGTACATTCAACTAGGTGAATGATCATTGCCCGGATTGACATTCCGCCGAATGTAGATCGGATACAAAGGGTGATGTGACCTTTGCATTTATACAGCTAGAGCCTTGCACCTTGCTATATCTACACAATTGACTGTCATATTTAAGTTCTGAAATTTTCATAAAGATCGCACCATAAACTCCGAAGTTCCTTAAGACTGCATTGCTCAGTTAAGAAGAAGCACAGTCGCTGTGCCCCTTGTAACGTGTATGTGTGTGTGTGTGGGTGTGTGTGTATGTATACATATGTGTTGGCTGGAAGCTCGAATGTTGCCTGCGCTAAGCACAGGGCAACTTTCAGTCGAGCACTTCCGACTAAAGAGCTTTTAGTTGATTTTCCTCGATTTTCTTCATATTGAAGATTTACGAACATTCCCGAATTCGTCCATAGAGCTTTTGTTGTTGTTGTGATTGGTCAAAAGTGTTGAACATTAGAAATTAAAGGCCGATCGATTCCAGCTTGTGTGTGTGCGTGGAAATTTACTGGGCAGCATTCCAGAATGCACGCGCTAGCGTTAGGTTTCTTTATGGAACGAAGTCGATCAGGCATACATACATATGCAGTGAAAGCTCCGCATCTTCCTGTTCTAAGAGCTGGTAACACTTTAGAGAAACGGGATTTTTAAATTATCGATTGACATATTTATCGAGCTTAAATAGTTCATTTTGCAAGCAGCTATTTGAATTTATCGCGAAAAGCTCATAGGTGCACACTTTTTTTAAGCATAGCTGTGTGTGTGTGTGTGTGTATGTTCGTGTGTCATAAAATACATGCATATATGTATATGTGTATATGTATGTAAGAGGATAAGAGAAACTACAGTCTTTGGTGTTCGCTCCAGACAGCTTTCACTGTATGTCTATGCATGTACATACATATGTATATGCCTACACATATACATACATGCATACATGCACATACAGTTTTTTAACATTTTTTGCCGCATATGTATGCATGCATGCATGTATATATATTGTATATCGCGTGTGTTTATGTGTATGTGTATGTGCTTATATTTCACTATTTTCTTAGCTTTTGCATCGATCAGTTGCCAAAGTCGAGGTCGCACTGTATACAAGCACTGCACAGCACACACACACACACACACACACACACACTATATGCACATGCATATTCGAAATCGCATCTGTATGTGTGCGTGTGCCCAATTGTCGCTTGGTCGCGAGCAGGGAAGTGCTGGTAGGGGGGGCTCCAATGGAGCTAAGCGAAAAAAAAAACAACAACAGCAAAAAACAAAAAAAAATCTTTAAAAAAAAGTGCAGCCTAGTCAGAGGCGGGGCGGACAGGTCAGCTACAGCAGCGCTCTGCAGCAGCGCTCGCGTTGGTAGGCAATGGGTTAGGGCTATGGCAGCGTCAGCGGGAGCGGTGGTGGGGCGGGGGGCGCAGCGTGTGAAATGTGATTTGATGACTGCGGCAATGGCAGCGCCGACAACGGCGAGAGGGCAGCTCGGCAGAGGCAAAGGCAACGGCATCGACAGCAGCAACAGCAGCAACAGCAGCAGCAGCAGCAGCAACGGCAGCGGCAGCGGCAGCGGCGACAACAACGACGACAGTATGTCTGGCGGCGTAGCATGAACTGGCGACATTCTGTCTGTGCCGATCGAGTGCGCTGTTGCCGCACTTCTTCAGAGCAGAGCGCACGCTATGCTGTGTGTGAGCGCTATGAGCATGAGCACGAGCTCGCGCACTAGCTGTAGCAGCAGTACCTGTATCTCTGTCTCTGTCTCAGTATGTGAGAGCGAATGAATGAACAAACGGCCCACACTCCAATACACTCACACACACACATACAAATGCTGCTGTGTGTATGGCGAGCGCAGACAGAGCGACGACGACAAATGAATTGCGGATGAATGCTTGGCGAGAGCAGCGCCAGTGAGCGAGTGAGCAAGCGAGCGAGCGAGTTAAGCATTCATTTTGTGTTCATTCTCACACATACTAACTCCCACTCGCATACACACACACACACACACACACACACACACACACGCACACACACATATTGCGTATTGTGTCGGCGACGGCTTTTGGCGCTTGTTCATGTGTCGTCGCTGCCCACGTTCGTTATAGCTGTCGTCGTTGTTGTTGTAGTTGTTGCCGGACTGTTCCACTCGCTCACCTCAGCGTTTGTCACTTGCCCTGGCCGTGTCGCTTTGGCTCCCGTTCCCAAAACCTATGTATGTGTCGGTCGCAATGTGTGCAGCCCCTTCCCCCTTCCACCATAGTCGTAGCAGATACAAAACGTGTGAATACAAAAATAAATTAAATAACATTAGCTTGAGGTACACCTTGCCGGATCGCCACTGTATGTGCGACAGCAGCAGCAGCAGCAGCAGATCGCTGCGCCGACGTCGCCGCCAACGCAGACGTTAAGGCGCCGTTAGTATCAGCCATTGAAAAGCTTTTATTATGAACGTGGCAAAAGCTTATGAGCTGCTTAATGCTCATAAAAGCTTACGCCATACAGCCCTGACTCTCTCTCTCTCTCTCTCTCACTCTAACACGTTTGCGTATTTGAGGCTCATCCTGTACATACAGAAGCTCAAAAGCTTTTCAGGGCGGCAATACGTTTCACTGTGCCGAGATAACCTAAACGCCCCACCACCCGCTGCCCGCTGACCATTGCCCATTGCCCATTGCTTACCATGCGCAAAGCTATTTACAACGGAATTTCACACCAGAGGTGTTCGCTTATTTTAACGCGAAATGCGCATAGCATCATCGGGGACCCAAAAAAAAAAAAAAAAAAACAACCAACAAAATACATACATATATATATAAATGCCTGCGTGTGTGTGGAAAAAACTATTGTGGCGGCGCGGCAGCAAATTGCGCAAGCGGTGCGCGGGTGCCTGCGGGCAGCGCACAGTTTCCTGTGCGGCGCACAGCCCCCACAACCTGTTGGAGATCGGTCATCGGGCATGGACATTGCCAGGGTTGCATGTGCGCCATGTGCGATACGCGACCGACTGGTTTTGCTGTTGTTGTTGTTGGCGCCAGGGCTGCCATGGAAAATTAGTTAAGCTCTGAACTGGCTGCCGCACTGTCTGCTGTCGTCGTCGTCGTCGTCGTCGTCGTCGACGTCGTTGTCGACGTCTCCCCAATTGAAAATCGACAACAGCTAGCAGCAATGCAGGCGAAGGCGGCAGCAGCAGCAGCAGCAGCAACAGCAGCAACAGAACCGGCATACATACACGCACACATTTACACTCACAAATACACTGTGGCGCTGCGGGCAGCAGGCGACGGCAGCGGGGCAGACAGACGAGTTATTTGCTGCGGTGTAAAAAAACCTGTTTGTTTAAACAACAATCTTGTACTAAAAATACATGTGCCTCACACATACACACACACACAGCCACAAAGCCAGCGCACACTTATACTACAGCAGCAGCAGCAGCAGCAGCAGCGGCAGCAACAGCAAAAGAGAGCGAGAGCGTAATTTCAAATTCAAAAAAAAAAAAAAACTCGCTCACAGCACAAACACACACATATGTACTGTGTGGCGCTTTAGCAGCAGCAACGGCTGCCAGTGTGTCTGCCAGTGCGCCAGTCGTTGTCGCCTCGTCGCTGCCCCGCTGCGCTGCCTATGTTAACCGCAGCAGCAGCGGCAGCAGCAGCAGCAGCGCCATTGCAGTTTACCCGTTTGCTTGCACGTAGGCGTCCGCTGGTCTGGCTTAATGTGTGTGTCTGCGTGTGTGTGTGTGTGTGTGTGCCTGTGTGTGTTGGCGTTGGAGGGCCCCGTTCCCGGGTTGCCAGCTTCTAAACCGACAGTTGTTGTTGCTGCTGTTGCTTTTGTTATTTTTTTTTGCTTTACGTTATTTATGCGCGTTTCGTTCAGTTTCGTTCGATTCATTTCGTTGCGGCGGCACCGAACAGAAATTGACTCAAATTGACGACGACGACGACGACGACGTTGGACGCAACGGTGGCAACGCCATGCCCCGCATGCCCCTACCCCTTGCTAACGTCAGGTCAGTTGCCAGCGAAAGAATGCTGGGCTGCGGCTGTGACTGCGACTGCGACTGCGGCGTTTGCTAACTAGCAAAGAGATGCCAGATCGAAACCCAACAACACCTGAAGCTCACTCGATAATGTGTGAGCGTGCGCGCGTGTGTGTGTGTGTGTACTGTGGGTACCTGCACGAGAGAAGAGGAGCAGCGGAGAGCTGAAGCTTCGCATGAGCAGCAGCCGCATTTAAAGTCAGTCGAAGCGAAGCGAAACAGCAACAGGCACACAGGATCCAAGAAATTCCAATTCTTGGAAAAGTTAATAAAAGTTTTGCCTTCGCGCGCGCGTTGCCGCCTTTCACACATACAAACATGCATCAGCATGCGCACATGCATACATGCATGCATACATATATATGTACATGCATGTATGTGCTTGTGTGTTTGTTTGTGTTGTTGGGCAGCGCATTTTTATGCGCCTGCAGCTTCGGCGGCCCAATGTCTGCCTCTGCCTCTGTCTCTGGCCGCAGCAAGACATACACTTGCCTCCCCCCCCCCCCCCCCCCCCCCCCACCCGCTTCCCCTTAGCCACAGCCCCGCCCCAACCCTTGCAGCACATTGGAAACCCTCGTCATGGCTGAGACGCGACTGACCATGGGCCCCGGCCACGTTCCTTTAAGGCAGGCCGCTTTCTTTTCCAAGAAGAACTATCCATTAGGCGCCTGAGATCGCCAAGCAACAGCGGGTCCAGCTCCAGCTCTCAGCAGAGTCCGGGCACTGTGTTTACCTGGAATTGGCCAAGATCGTGCTGTAAATGAAACGATCGCCAAATGATCCTTTGGCTCACAACTATGCAGGGCCTTGGCTCTGGCTCTGCTTCTGCTTCACTTTTTGTGGTTCTGTCTTCGGCTTTGGGGCTGCCTTCAGCTCGGTTTTCAAAAATATTTATGTTGCGGAAATTTCCAGGCATTGATCGTAACGATCTATATATTCCATAAATATTCCTTATGCACACACTGCATTCATTTTTCGATAGCTGTGCCCAAATTTAAAATTATCGATAATTATCGAGCTTAAAGCTTTATGATCTAGATAGACGAAACCTGGTCTCTAGATCTTCTCATGGCATATGTATTGCAAAAATATTGCCTACGCACTGTTTCTATAAGAGAAAATTAGTTTAAATGCTTTATGAGAGGTTTTCGTTAACGGTTTGTTTCGATATCTGTTCCCACTTGCGTAAAATCGATAAATATCGATGTGGAGATACGTTTTTAAGCATAACTCGAAGACTCTATGAGCTACATAGATCCCACTTGGCTGGTTCAGCTTCTTATGGTATGCATAGTTAGGGGCTAATTCCTTTTTTGGATACGTAAAGCCATTGCCTACCCGGAAAAGCTGGAAAACCTCAAAGCATGTACGAATAGCAGGAGGCTAGAATGTGTTAGGCTATCTCCCATACACTTTATACTATATATCTGGCTTTGATTTCAGAATGAAACTAGAAAAAAATAAAATAAACTGCAACACTTGATCGACACGTTCCGGCGATCTTTGACATGTGGCTAATCAGTTGATAAATTGAAGGCAGTTCAATCTGTAAAGCAGAGGCGAAGCCGCAAGTGAATCACTGAAACCGAATATCTATACAGCTCAGGTGCCATATAATAAGCCAGATTAGCTCAGATTCCAGAAATCAGAAAACATTTTAGTATACATGTGATATACATATATATATACATATATACGTGTGTATAGCTAAAGATCTGGCACTTATCTTTGTGCCTCGATTGAATTCAATCTGTAAATAATGGGCCACAAAAGTTGCTGCTTGTAATTATATAGAAGTTGGCTGTAACCCGGCTTTGCGCAGCGCAAGTGTTTATTCCGAACATAGGCACTTGATAAACTAGTGTAAAGATAATTGTCAAGTTGATTTGTAAAAAACGATCATAATTACGAAATTGAAGCCTTCGTGAAATATTTCCACGCTTGCGGGTGGAATAGTTCCACGCTTGCGGGTGAAAAAGTTCCACGCTTGCGGGTGGAAAAGTTGCACGCTTCCACTTAAATTCAGTTCACATTAACAATCAAACAGGGCAAACAATACATACACATATATATACATATATATAATATAATTAAATAAATAGTTAAATAAGTTGATTAAGTCGATCGGGCGATCTTTGACTTGTGCTTATCAGCTTGAAACTGATGAATTGAATTGAAAAAAAAAAAGTGAATCACGATTCAACGATTCACATTATCATGTAGATTGTAGATTTTGCCATAGAGCTGATCATATCGTGGCATTGATCCACATTGTTGGATCCACAAACTGGGCATAGATCAGAGATTTAATCACATTCGATACTCCAAAAAAAAAAAAAAGTGCGCCAAACTCAAAATATAACCGGGGAGCTTGCACACGATCGATTCTTGGATGTTGTGAATATATGAATATCAAAATATTTGTTTGAATGCGATGCGATAGATACGCTCGCTGACTGCACACGCCGTCGATTGTGCTGGGCGATAATCGCAACTGGACGGGGTGGGGGGCGGGCAGGTGGAAGCGTTGAGAATTAGTCAGAGTCGGACCTGGTAACAAATTGACGTTTTGCGTATTTGCCAAGCGCCAACGTGCGATCTGGTATTATGTACATGGAGTTTTTGGGTGCCAAAACAATTGTGAATAGGCTTTAACCGTGACTCAACTCGGGCGAAACACTCGCCCCAATTACAATGTGCATGAGTTTCTGATATCGTAAGCTAAAAACGTGATTGAGCCACGTGCAGGGCGAGGGGATCGGAACGTATCGAATCGGAATGAAACAGAAATGGTAACGAGCCAGTGTGCACGACTGCCAGTTACCCTGTAAACAGTTGCGAGTTGCCCTATAACAGCTCAAATGTGTTCTTGCATAACTTGGAACTCTATTTGTGGTTTTTGATGAAATTTTCAGTGCTTAGCTAGAACAACGCAAGCTTTTCACATACCAAGGCCCAAGCTTGTAACTCTTTGGGGCAGCGAAATATCTCTCTCTCTCTCTCTGTGTCGAGATAAGCAACTTATCTATTTCCTAAACTGGGGCTTGATTTTGAAGTAAACTTTATCTCGGATTGATCACAATAATATATATACGCAATAACTTAATTTGCTTAGTAATCTACCCACTTGCAGTCGGTACAGGGTATCAGTTACCCATTCAAGGCCCAACCGAGCTCTTTTATTCGACTTAGCCATAAAAGACTCGACACATGGGTACTACAATCTGTGAACAGAAGAAATTGGATCAGTCGAATGTGGCATGTTTTTCTGGTTAACTGTCATTGAAACCGTTTTGAGAGCGTGAATCGCACGATATTTAGCACTATTTCTGCCCCTTTGTGCGATCTTATCGCCCGATAAGCGCCGCCAACTAACCATCGACAGTTCATCCAAGTTTATTTCACAAGCCTTCCACATTTTTTTTTTTCTATTCCGTTGCAAACTTTGTACAATTAGTCATAGAGTGACATTCAAGAAAGCCATCCAAAACGAGGTATATCTATATCCATAGAATAATTTATATTTCCTATAGAAATTGTACAATGTCTCGCTTGACTTTTATTGTTATTCCCTGAACCAAAGAATGGTGTAGGGCATATTTTTAGATGTATCTCCTTGCGCTTTGGTATATGCTCACTTTTGGGAGTTCTTTTTGGACACTGAAATTTTGAGAAAGATCGGACTATAAACAGTGAAGTTATCTGAGAACGCATTAGCCATATTTTGTGTGGAGGAAAGAGAAAGAACAGCTGCCGCATATTTTACTATATATATCTCATTTCTTTATACTCTATATACTCTATGTATACTCTATATACTCTATATACTCTATATATACTCTATATACTCGATGTACTCTAGATATTCTAGATACTCCATATACTCTATATACTTATATATATACTCCATATACTCTTTATGTGTGTATGAATATACACTTTACTCTATATATACTCCATATACTCTATATATACTCCATATACTCTAAACACTCTAGATATTCTATATACTCTTATACTCTATATAAAATGCATGTTCCATATACTCTATATACTCCATACAATCTATATACTCTTGTACGCTATATATACTCTAAATACTCTAGCTACTATAAATATTTCATATACTCTATATAGTTGATATTATCTAGATATTCTGGTTACTCTATACTCTATATACACTCCTCACACTCCATGTACTCTATATATTCTATAAACGCTTATACTCTATATATACTCTAAGTACTCTAGTTACGCTATAGAGTATTTTGTATATTCAATAAATATTATATTTGTAGTCAAAGATTTCTGGATAATTCCAGCTTGTAAAAGTGCCTACAGACGAACGAGCTGAGCTTATGTGGGTTATATCAGATATATATATATATATAGATATATGTATATAACAATATTAAGAGCTGATCAGAGCTGCGATTTATTGATTTGCTTTCGTTTGACTTGGCTTCGGATTGGTTTTGGGCCAAGTTGAGTTACGGATTGGGTTACGCGTGCGCGTCGAGCTCTTCGAGTGTGGCTATCTCCGAGTGTCTCCAAGTGTCGCCCCTGCCCACTCTCCAGCGGCAAATCCGCAGGCCCCACTCGTTTATGTATCTAAGCATATACATACATACATACATGCATACATGCATACATGCATATATGTATGTGCATGTGTGTGTGTGTGTGTGGGCTTATGCTCCGCATTCGAAGGCAGACAGCGCGGCGTCGGCTCGGGCTCGGGCTCGGGCCCAATAGTGTTTGGCCCCCCCTCCCCCGGCCCCCTAGCACAGCCGGCCCCTTCGCTCGCTCTGTGTCGCTTTTATGTGTGCCTGCCCTCGGCCCCTCTGCCGCTCTGCCCACACCGTTGCCCACGACTGCGATCGCACCGCGCCCTTTGTGCTTGAAGACGTTGGGCCCCGCCCCGCTCCGCTTGCGCCCCTGGCCCGTTGACCGAATGATTTTTGTTTGATTTTTTCTTTATTATTATTTTTCAACTTTTTAATCAATTCATGTGTCTGTCTCTGTCTGCCTGTGTGTGTGTGTGTGTGTGTGTGTGCGTGTGTGTGTGTGCATCTATTGTGTGTATAGGTTTTCGATTTTTACGTTACCTTTACCTTTTTTTATATTCAATTTTTATCTCTTTGCCTGCGTCTTTTCCGCTTTTTACTTGAATGTGTTTCTTTTCTTCTTCTTCTTTTTTTTTCGTTTATTTTTTTGTTTTTTTTTTTGTTTTCTTCTTTTTGATAAATCGATTTAGAAGCCGACGGGGCCACAAAAGTGGAATTCTTTTGATTTTATTTTAAACACACACACACACACGCACACGCACACGTATGCTGCCTGTGTAGTTGTTGTTGTTGTTTTTTTAAGTTTTCGTTTTTTTTTTCAACTTTTTTCTTCGCTGTTTTTGTTTTTGTTGTTTGTTACTTGGAAATGCAATTCAAAAACATTTTCATGTGCATGCGTCGGCGTTTGTTGGCGGGGAGGTGTATGTGCGTGTGTGTGTGTGGGGGGGGGGGGGGGGGTTTGTTAGCGTTGCCAGACAACGCGTCGTTCTTTTTTGGGGCGTGTTGGGATGCCAGCAAAAACGAGAAGAAACAGAAGAAGCATAAGAAGAAGAAGGAGGAGAAGAAAAAGAAGAAGAAGAAGACGCAGATCGCAAAGGCGACGACGTGGGAATCTATGCGCGCTGTCCAATGTCCTCTCTTGACTGGAAGCCGCTCTTAACTCGAACATGCACTCACTCGCTCGTCCCGTCTCACTCACTCGCAGGCGCAAGCATAGCCGAGTAGCAGCGATCTATCATCGGGCATCATCAGAGCGGCCGTCGTCTAGGTGAGTCAATGCTTTTTTATCTGCATTGTTGTTGTTGTTGTTGTTGTTGTTGTTGTTGCTTTGGTCGAACAGCTCTAATCGTGTTGCGTGCGTCGGCTCTTTCGTCTATGTTATGATGCCTCGTTTTTGGTCTCTTGCGCCCTCACCTCAACTGCCGTTCAATATCGCACGCGCAAATGATGCTGCCAGCAGAGACAACAACAACAACAACAACAACAACAACAACAGCAACAACAACTTGGCATAGACAGAAAACACATTTTTTATTTGTGAATTTGCATACACACGCAGTCATCGAAGCCGCAACAACACCAACAACAAGAATATCAGCAAAGTCACACAAACACATGCATATGTGTTTCATTCATGAATTCCAGTTGACGACGATCGCCGCGACAGAAGCAGAAGCCGAAGCAGAAGCAGAAGCAGCGGCAGAGACAGCGACAGCGACAGCGACAGCGGCAGAAGCAGCGCAGATTTTTGTCTCTGCCCGTTGAGCGCACAGAAAATTTCGTTTGTCATTTGCAACAAGTGCGGGCCACAATTGTTGTTGTTGTTGCTGTTGTTGTTGTTGTTGTATTTGTTGCAATTGCTGTCGTTGTTATTTTAGTGCACTCGCATTTGCCTTTGCTGCTGCTGTTGTTGTTGTAGCTATGCCCTTTTGTCTTTGAGCTTAGTCAGGTGGGGGCGACGGCAGCATCGCTAAGCGATAGCCGCAGCGACGGCTGTAATGCACCCACAGCCAAAAGCAATGTATGTATGTCTGTCACACACATACAGCAACAACTACGAAGCATACACACGTACGCACACTTACAAAAAAATACAAAAAACAAAAATGCATCGCTCTCATAATGGAATAACATGTTATTCCATCGTGAGCCAGCACGGCGCATTACACATTCAACAGTTGATTCTCGATTGTGTACGTAATACACACACACACACACACACACACGCACACAAACATAAATGCATGCACAGAGCATAAGCGCAGAGCGCGAGAGTCAGAGAGGCAATGGCATGGCGTGCACTCAACAACCCCCCCCCCCCCCTCCCCCCTTCCGCCATAAATCACACACACACACACACACACACACGCACACACATCAGGCGACGGCAAGCGCTCAACAAGTTCATGTGACGATTTGACGCTGCGTCGCCGCGTCGAGGCGACAGAGCAAAAGCAAAAGCACCAAACATGTCGGCCGGGCCGAGCCCTAGTGCCAGAATGTCTGGCAGCCACGACTCACACACACGCACGCAACGTACATGCACTCTGCGCTGCATGTGTGTGTGTGTGTGTGTGTGCATGTATCGGTGTAAACTGGCAGAGCTAGCGAAATTGTAGCGCAAGTTGGCAGCGGCCGCCGCAACGTGGTTCGCAGTCGTCGCAGTCGTTGTCGCTGCTGCTGCTCCTTTGGCGCACAGCCACAATAGCAACAGCACAGTGTGGCAATGCATGTGTAATTTTCATTTCAAATGATAACATATACATTTTATATATATACACATGAGATATGCATACATATATGCAGATCATCGTCAACATGTACATATTTTAGTTGTGTGCACACAAAATGATTTAATATTACAGCATATACCTGTGATTGTGCATATTTTGTACCACTGTGCACAGTTTGAGTGGCCAGCACAATACACTGAGTTTGTCAGTTAGTCAGCCTGTGGTGAGGCAGGCGACGGCGGTTCGGGCCTGTGCCGTGCCCGGGGGCAGGGCCAGCAATCGTCGTTCGTGTCCGTCCCCATCTGTCCGATGCGTCCGACGCGTCGCTTGTCGGTCGTAGCAGAAAATCAACTCTACACCAGCCACACAAAAGCGCCGCGGTCGCAACAAGCACAACCATGATGGAATAATATATTTATATTCATATTAATATATACATATATACATATATATATATATATACATACAGATATATGTATGCATGTGTGTTATTCCATCATGAACACAACAAGAAGTATTCTCACACACACACACATACAGCCATTCAAAGTATTCACTCACTCTCACACATACATACACACGCACGCACACACACAAGTGTATGTATATGCATGCATAATACAGGAGCGCAGACACCTCGCCGACGATTGTCGTCAGTTTGTCTGCAGTGCTCAGCGCTGTTGCTGCTGGCTTGGCTGCAAAAGCAACAACAACAACAACAATAGCAATAACAACAACTGGTTTGGTCTGGCGACGGCGGCGGCGGCGGCAACTCTGGGGCCCGCCAAGTGTCTGACTCGTTCACACTCACACATAGATGCACGCACACTTGCTGCGCTGTCGCTGCTGTTGCTGCTGCTGATGAGCTGCTATTAGAACGCACACAGATACGCGCTGGCACACACATACACACGCACAGGCACACAAACAAGCAGACAGAGCGTCGACTGCACTCACACTCTCAGACTGAGAGGCGCGCGCGCGAGCTGTGCTGTCGCTGTCGCTGTGGCTGCGGCTGCGGCTGTGTTGTTGTTGTTGCGTTCATTCGTTCATTTCAGTTCGTTTCGTTTCGTTTCGTTCTCGCATCGTATCTGTGTGTGCGTGTGTGTGAGCGGCGGCGACAGAAGCAGCAGCAGCAGCAGCAGCAGCAGCAGCGCCGACAACGACGGCCCAGCCAGTCTAGAACGTAGAACGCAGCAGGCAGAACAATTGTGTTTTGGATTCCTTGCCGTGCGGTTGCGGATCGCGTCGCGTTGCCAAACAAGAGCAACAAATATATATTTTTCTCTGTGTGTTTTTGTGTGTGCAAATGAATTCAAGCTACAAATTTCACATATGTGCATATATACTATATTTTTTTTGTGTTGTGCTCTTGTGTTCTTTCATCTAACATTCAACAACAGTCCAAGCAAAATATCAAAATATCAATATCAATATCAAAAACAAAAACAAAAAACAGAAACAAAAACAGAAACAGAAACAGAAACAAAAACAAATAAAACCAATACAAAAAGCAACAATTTTTGTTACTTCCAAGACGACGGCGTTAACGTGTTTTTGTTGTTGCGCTCACTTGTTTCCAGTGCCAGCGCTGCCAGATCGCGAGTTATGAAAGCGCAAGCGTCGCCAGCGTCGCCAGCAAATAGCAACAACAGCAACAACAGCAACTTTTAAAGCAACTTAGATATATGCTAAGAAAACTGTATATATAAATTTATATACATATAGTAAATACTATTTTTGATATACAAAAAACGTTTTACAAACAAAAATGGATAACAGCGAACAAAGTTCGATAAACAATAGCAACAACAGCAACAACAACAACAGCGGCAGCGCTGCCGCCGCCGCAGTAGCCATGGCTGCCGCCGCCGCGCTGAGCTTTAATCAACAGGAACAGCAGCAGCAGCAGCAGCAGCAGCAACAACAACACAAGCGGCCTGCTAAGGACACGACAGCAGCAGCAGCAGCAGCAGCAGCAACAGTTGCTGAGCGCCACAGCAACAGCAACGGCAACAGCAACGGCAACAGCAACAGCAACGGCAACAGCAGCGCCTGCAGCCCCAAGATGGGCTCACGTCGCATTTTCACGCCGCAGTTCAAGCTGCAGGTGCTTGAGTCGTATCGCAACGACAACGACTGCAAGGGCAATCAGCGTGCCACGGCGCGCAAGTACAACATACATCGCCGCCAGATACAAAAGTGGCTGCAATGCGAGCCCAACTTGCGCTCCTCGGTGGCCAACAATCAGCACCAGCAGCAGCATCAGCAGCAGCAGCAACAGCAGCAGCAGCAACAATTGCAGCAGCAACATCATCATCATCATCAGCAGCAGCAGCAGCAGCAGCAACAGTTGCAGTTGCAGCAGCAGCAACAGCAGCAGCCAGCGCCGGCGCCTTTGAAGCCGCATCAGTTTCATCAGCATCTTTTGGCACATCACCATCACCATCATCATCATCATCATCCGCATGGAGCAGCCGCCGCCGCCTCGATGGCAGCAGCTGTTGCTGCCGCGCGTGCGCATCAGTTGCTGACGAACGGCTTCGCCGCGCCGCATACGCATGCGCATGCGCATCATGTGGCAGCAGCAGCGGCAGCGGCAGCAGCAGCAGCAGCGGCGGGCGCCTTGCCGCCGCTGCAGCACAGTAATGGCACGACAGCAACAGTTGCTGGTGCAGCAACAACAGCAACAACAGCAGCAGCAGCGGCCGGCAGCAACAGCAACAACAGCTTGTCAGCGGCCAAAATTGCCGCCGTTGTGGCAGCATTTGCCAGCAACAGCAGCAGCAACAACAACAACAACAACAGCAGCAGCAGCAACAACAACAACAACAACAATTGCCAACACAGCAGCAGCAGCAACAGTTGCAGCAGCGCCACAACGTTGCCATATTGCACAATAACACAGCAGCAACAAGTGCCAAATGCCGTGCCACTGAACAGCAGCCACAGCTGCAACAGCCAGCACATTCCTCAGCCCGCAGCAACACAGCAGCAACATGCCGCACAGCAACAGCAGCAGCAGCACCAGCAGCAGCCGCCGCCTTTGGTATATGGTTATGCGCCTGCCGCCTATTTGCCGCTGACCGCGCCCATGGATCTGTCGCTGAGCAGCGCGGCGCGGCGACAACGCGAGCAGCAGCAACAGTTGCAGCACGAGCAGCAGCAACAGTTGCCGCTGGGCTGTCGCAAGCGTGCGGCGCAATCGCCCTGGCTGGGTGGCAGCACGCCGGCGGACAAGCTGAGCAAACTGGAGGCCATCAAATGCGAGCCCAGCGACAACGAGGCGGAGGACGATGTGGACATCGATGTCGATGTCGAGGCCGACACGGAGGCAGCAACTGTTGCTGAGCGCAAGCTGCCCGCCAAGCAGGTCAAGCTCTTCAAGCCCTATCTGCTGGACGAGAGTGCGGCGGAGTCACAATGGGTGCCGGAACCGGAACCGGAGCGGGAGCCGGAGCGGGAGCGGGAGCGTGAGCGGGAACAGCAACTGGAGCTGCGCGTTGAGGATGAACGCGCCGCCGATGCCGATGATGAGGAGCATGCCACGCTCAATGGCGGCAGCAAGAAGAAGAAGCGCGTAGCGCCCAAACAACGGGAGCCAATCATCTGGAGCAATCATCCCTTTGCCAGCGGCAGCAGCAGCAGCAGCTGCTTTCAGTCGCCGCCGCCGCCGCTGCTGATGCCATACGCTGCCGCTGCCGCCGCCGCCGCGCCGCTGCCGCCGTTTCACGCCGGGAGTCCTCAGCAGCAGCAGCAACAGCAGCAGCAGCAGCAGTTTCAAGGCGGCGGCAGCAACAGCAGCAGCAGCAGCAGCAACAGCAGCAATTGCGGCGGCAGCAAGCCCGCCACGCCCACCATTAATGTGCTCAGCCCCTTCTCGGCGCCGGCGCTATCGCCCATCGGTTTCTGCTGCCCCAAAGGGTCGCCCGTTTCCGGCTACGAGAGCAGCTCCTCCACCTACAGCGACAGCCCCAGCGCCAGCTCCACGCACAGTTACAGCCTCAATCTGCAGCTCCATGCCGCCGTCTACAACGACAACTTGATGCAACAGCAACAGCAACAACAGCAGCAGCAGCAGCAACAGCAGCAACAGCAACAGCAGCAACAGTTGCTGCAGCGCTGGCTGGATCGGGAGGCGCTGGCACGCCTTAACTCGGCCGCAGCGGGCGGTGCGGCTGTTGTGGTCGCTGCCACGCCCACAAGCAGTACCAGGGCAGCGCCCATAACGCTGCTGGCCTAAGCAAACGCAGCGGAAACAGTTGCTAATCGAAGCGACAACAATCACAACAACAACAACAACAAAAACCCACCTAAGGAGCGGGCGGCTGGAGGGAAGGAGGCGTGGCCTAGGGCCTTGTAAGTTAATTAACGAAAGAAGAGAAGGGAAAAAAAAACAAAAGCAAAAACAAAAAAAAAAACAACAAGCAAAAGTCTAAAAAGCAATTTACTTTTCGGGTGTTTTAACTGTTACATTTAATTTAATTAATTACTAATTAATTACTTCCAAAAACAACAACAACCACATATCAAAACCCGCCCCCCACCCCCACACCCACACACACACACACACACATACACACACATAATTATTGCAGCGTAGAATTATTTTCATATTAATTAATTAATTGTAATTAAAAATTAAATTTAGTTATGCGCCATCTATTTTTTTTTTGCTAAATTCTAGCTACAAATTAATTGTAATTAATTTTAGTTGCCTTTTTTTTTTGTTTAATTATAATTAATTATCTATAGATTGTAATTAGTTTAATTATTTTAAGTGTCCCCCATTTTTTTTTTTTGCTATATTTTACTTTTTATTGCGTAAGTTTTGTTTTTGTAAATAACTAATTTTATTGTGTACAAAAAAAAAAAGAAAACGAAGAAGAAGCAAATTGGCATAAAAATAATCAAGCAGAAAATTGAATTAACTAAAGAATTTTAACGCTAAATCAAAAGCAACAACAACAGTTAACAGGAGCTGAAATTGCTTGGCTCGGCGCGCCGACGCATTGAATACCCTTGCCGAAAATATGTTTGTTGCAGCGATTGTTCCAATATGAACGCTATATATATATATATATATATACAGGGTATATATATAATTTGGATTTTGGAAATTGAAACAACATTTCAATTGGCTTCAAACTGATTTGCTTAAAGACTTTTTACTAACTGAGAACTGTAGAATCCGATCAAGTATATATATATATATGCGTTACATATTGGCTGACATAGCTGGCATGCCCGCTGCAAGGGTATTAAGGTAGAAGAAGAAGCAACAACTGAGAAGTAAATGAAAACAAACGAAATTCAGACGATTGTAAGAGAAAGCTTTAAAAACAAAAACAACCCACACACACACACACACACACACACACACACATGAATTTGTTGTCATGGCTAAAAATATATATATTTATATATATTTATATATATAACTGCAAACTGGGCGTGGCCAGCCCACTGAATTGAGTTAACAAACGGGAACTAATCAAATGTGTAATTCTTTTTATATACATATATTTAGCTCATAAATCTTATGCCTAAAACATTTAATCGTATAAACTAGTTATAGCAATTAATTACACACACACACACACACACACACACGTATATATACATAATGGTTTTTTTTTTTTTTTTTGGGAAATTGAAAATTCTTGTGATATGAAATAACAAAATTTTAATAAATTGTTAAAAACTGCTGATCGCATATAAAGAATTAAATATATATATATAGCTATATAGATATGCATATATATATATATATATATACAAATATATATTATATAGTATATTTACAAGAACAACAACAACAATTATATCTATACACAATATACATATATACAATATATTTATATACAAGAGATGTTTTTTTTTCTTCGTGCAAACGATTTGCAAGCAAAACTTTACAGATATATATACATATATATATATATATGTATGCACGAGCCCCCAAATATGTATACATATGCATATATGTGCAGATATATATATATATATATATATATATATATATATATATATATAAAGCAGTATTTTTATATATTGAAAGAAAAGAAATAATGAAAAAAAAAAATTAAAAAAAATAAAAACAAAACAAAAGAAAAACTGAACAAGAAATAAAAAATGTATTCAATTAACATGAAAATTGCACTGTTTTCCTTTTTATTTACCCCTCAAAATGTTCTGAAAGGGTATATTGGTTTTGTGCAGACGCATGCAACAGACGGCAGGCGGGACGAGTAGCTGTTGTGAACTCGAAAAAGGCCGGGAAGTAAACATTTATATATCAAGCGCCGAAGTTCATATCTCAATAGATTTTCATGCTATCGATAATTATCGATGATTACACGATCTAGATAAGCTTCTCGGGAACTACAAGTGCTTCACACTTGAAGCGAACAGTTTGTATTCGAATTCCATTTTCATGCTATCGATAAATATCGATTTGTAGATTTGACTCTGTTCGCATAACTCGAGGAGTGCATGGGTTTGATAAGCTATTTCGAGCTTGGAAGCTACGCGAACTAGAAGCTTTAATGCTGAAATAGCTGCACTTTGGGTTATCGATAAATATCGATTCTAAGATATGGGCATATTTCGTGAATTAGCAAAAGTAGATAAGCTCATTTGAAGTCGTAGACTACGAAAGCTAGAGGCTTGAATGTTAATATGATGCCATTGTTATGTTATCGATAAATATCGATTTTGAGATATGATTCATTAAGCATAACTCGAGAATTAGTCGTAGTAAATGAGCTCATTTGAGCTCGCATACTTCAGAGACGTGAAACGAGCGAATTTTTATCAGAACATATTTTTGTGATATCGATAAATATCGATTTGGAAATATCGATAAAAGCTAGATGCAGCTTTATCTGTTTGCGCATTCCTGTTAGGCATATACCGACTAGCATTGTTTCACTTTTTGGATACATTCCATTCCATTCCAGCCGAAAATAGAGAAGAAAACATTTTTAGAGATATCGCCGTGTGCCTGCCACATTTGAGTTCTGAGTATTTTCATAAGGATCCGAGTAGAAACGGGCGAGTCAATTGAGAAAACATATGCCACTTGTCTGGGGTTAGGGAAAGAGGAAGCGAGAAAGAGAAAGCTGCAGTCTTGAGGGTATCTCGCAGTCGCAACTGACCGAGCACTTTGCATTGTTTTTTTTTTTAACACTTTTTTTTTTATTTGTCTTTTGCACTGGTTCGTAAACGTTCTCGCATGCAGTTCGGCCATTTTGTTGGACAGTGTGCGGGGCCCCGTTAATCATTTGGCACTTGTACAACAAGTCAACAGCTCGCTTGGCCCTTATGCAATTGCCAATCGGCTGATCGCGCCGATCACGCTACTCAACAGGTATTATGTGATCAGATCAAACAGATCGCTGCGCTGTGCTACACAGTTTAATATACATTTTTGTTTCTTTCTTTCCGTTATACAATCTATAGCTAGAAAATAGCAAATCGAAAAGCAAAGCATCAAAGGCCATAAAGACGTCCGACTTCGGGACTTCGTCCGCTTAAACTCGGCTATGGAACGAGCTGGACTCGAAAGTTTTGGTATGTGCCCTCTCTTGGCCCATGGGTATTACGACCAACCAAAAACTCAGTGCCTAGTAGAGCTAAGGCTACAAACTTGGGCACAAATGAGATATGTGCATACGATCTGGTCTAGTCTAGTCCGATATATGATCGTATGCAAGCCGATCTTCAAAGGTGAATCATAATTTGAAATAAAGTTATATGAAATAAGGAATAGATTGTTTATTAAGATCTGGCAAATTTGGTCAGGATATCTGCGGGATATAGCTGTTCATACTGAACGAGAATATATAGCATGCATATATACTACTCCACCTTTGGATTGTGCCTTAACGAGATAGGAATTAATGGTTATATTCACATCAGATCAGACCAAACAACTTGATATGATATATATTTAAAAGCTTTGTTTGGGGTATAAGAGTTTTGACATCAATCGTGTGACGCATTGAAGAAGACGCCTTTAATAGGGAATAATATTCATATTCTTGATCATAATCAAGAGGCTACTTATATATATATATATATAGCATATCTGCAAAGTCATATGAAATCGGAATATCGTATGTCTGCTTTAGGATTGATCAATGCAGCTGTAGGACATTATTTTACTAGGGTTATATATATATATATATATATATATATATATATATATATATATGTATAATATATCTGCAAAGTCTGCAAAGATGCTATAGGAAAAGTCGGTGCACTTCTAAGCCATATTTCTACAAGGCTATATATATGTGGCATAGCTACAAAGTCGAAACGAATCGTGCTATATGATATGGCTGCTCTAGGAACAATTCAACATGGCTATATATAACATATCTGCACAGTTCGTATAAAATTGGGATATCATATAAGGATTAGTCCCGCATAGCTCTACTCTAGCTACATACATATATATAACATAATATATCATATGTATAACATATAAAATATCAGAGTATTTAATCTTCGGCTTGCCGTATGTAGAATTTCTTCTCTTCTGTTTGTTTTATGATCTTTTGATCTATTGAGCGGTGCCCCTTCCGCTCTTCGCTTCTGCTGCGCTCCATCAAGAAAGGCTTTTTGGCTTTGGCTGTGGCATTTATCCATCTATCTAAGTTATGTATCTACCTATTTATCTATCTATTTATCTATCTATTTATCTATGATGGATCTGTTGCTCTGATCTTGTGATCTTGTGCTTATTGCGTGTGTCATTTTGGCCAGCTCATCGCACTTCAGCTGCTGTCTGTGCGTGCGTGTGTGTGTGTGTGTGTGTGTGTGTGCGTGTTAGTTTTCCTTTTCGTTGACTGTTCCGTTGTTTCGTTTCGTTTCATTTCGCTTTGCTTCTGGTTCTGTGTCTCAGTTCTGGTCAATTCGCATGGCATATTTTACGTGAATTTTGTTTTTTTTTTTTGTTCAGTTTTTTTTGTTCTTCTTTCATTTTTTTTTTTTTTTTTTTTTTTTTTTTTTTTGGTTATCGCGCAGCGTTTTGCGCTATGACTAAGCCGCTAAATTCTATAATGCTTGTATTTTTAAAACGTTTAAAAATAAAGTGCTCTCGTTTGCCAATGTGTGCGCCAATCAGGAGCCCGAGCCGCCGTTGACGCCGACGTTGACGTTGACGTCGACGTCGCTGCCGCTGCGATGTGCACGTCAACGTGCGGGGCGTGGCAGGCGGGGCGGGGAGAGGTGGGCTGCGACGTTCAATGCGGCAGTCACTCATTGTGCATAGTTGATATTTTTGCAAAGCACACACACACACACACACACTGTAACTAACTGTGTGTGTGTGTGTGTGTGTGTGTGTGTGTGTAGTTGTGATTGCTGCCAAAGAATGTTTCGACGTGCAAGAAGTTTCATCAAAAGAGACCAACAAATGCCCTACGATTGCACACACACACACACACACACACACATGCACACACACACACACACACACACGCACACACACACACACACACACGCACACACACACATGCACACACTTATACATCCTTTATTTGAGGTCAACTTAGAAGCTTCTTTTGTTTTGCACATTTATCGCTTTCTTATCTTCCAGCGCGCAAAACTTTCGATTCACCGAAGCGAGAGCTCGTCCTGCAAACGGATTTGAACCACAACGGTTCGAGTTCAACATATATTCTATCTATTCTATACGATTCGATTCTTTTTCATCGTTGACCCAGCTTTGAGCCCAAGCGCACGCAAATCAGAACCAAGCCTCAGGTTAAGAGGCAGGAAAATGGGTTTGAACCAGCGAACATGTTTTCTGTGCTCCTGTTAGTTGGCATACAGATAGTAAGTATCGCCTGGGCGATACATTGGCGATAGTAAATTGAAGAGTTTCTATCGCCTGGGCGACACATTGGCGATAGCGAAAGCTGCCCATGTACCCTGGCGGCAACGAATATGTATCGCCCGGCAGATACATATGCGATACTCACGAAAAGACTTGAATTGACTTTGTGTGTCCAGGTCTTGCCTATCGCCAGGCTATCCGCAAACTATCTGCCTGGCGATAGGGCAACACACACACACACACACACACACACACACACACACACACACACACACACACACACACACACATGCATGCGCTACACCTGTGACTATTGGCCTGGCTGTGTACGCTTTTAAATCTGGGCAGCATCTAAATTCAATACACCTACCCTCCCCCCCCCTAACCCACCCACATACCAACCTTCCCACACACATGCGACGATTTTCTTTGATTTATTTCGTGTTGCTGAGCAGCAAATTTTCTTGTGACTTTTGTGATGCCACGTGACAAACATTGGCGCAAGACAACACAACACAACCAAATGACAACACCGAATGCCCCGCCCAGTCCCGCCCCCCGGCCCCTCAGCTGCTGCACCCCGTTGATCATGTGCATCGCCGGGCGAGCGTTGATTTTCCTTTCTATCATTATTTTTTTATTTCTTTTTGTTTTTTTCGTTGCACTTGCATCAAATGCAGCCAATTGCAAAGTTAACAAACAGCCAAGTTTAGGCGGAGAGCAGGGGTGGGGTGGTGGCGGGGATGACGTGATGATGGGGTAGGTTCTGCCAAGGGGTGCAGCAAAAGCACACCTGAGTGCATTTGGCAAGGTCATTGATATTATGCACACGAGTATAATTTGCTTATATTAGTTGATTTTCATGCTTAAACAAAAATATATATTACTAGCGTGCATTGCCCGGCTTTGCTCGGTTGCCCATGCTAGACTGTAACCCCATTGCCATACGTGTAGAGGATCAATTGATCCATCAATCCCTATCCGTAAACTTCTTCCTTGTATGCAAAGTGTTTTATGGACTTGGCTTTTTATTATCAGATTTTCACTGCAGCGGGTGAAATGGGAAACGGACGGAACGTTAAACGCGTGGAAAAGGGGAAACGGTTGAAACAGGAAACGGCTGGAAACGCAACAAGCTGTAGATTAGTTGATCTTCTCTAAAGTGCGAAAGATTCATTCAATAGAGACAAGCATGCTACGCACGATTCCTTTCCACCAATCTTTCACCTTCACGAACGGAACTCTCATTAATTGCGACTTAGCCGTCCAACTTTTACTTATAAAATGAATAACAGTAGCATAGAGAGGATCAGTGATCAGTATCAAGGGGGATCACTGATAAACTGAGTAGGAATAACTTTTTCATATACCTATAAAGTGAATATCAGATAATAAGAGAGGATCAGTGATCAGGATGATCAGTATTTGAAATATCCTTTAGTAGGATCACTTATCAGTATTACAGAGGATACTTATTGAAAAGGTTCAGGGATCTGAATGAGCTGAATGAGCATTGCTTGTGTCATTTGGAACATTTAAATATTATGAATTAAAGAGAAGATCAGTGATCTGTATTTAAGAGGATCGGTCTCTATCGATATCTTGAGCTATGCTACCCTAACAGAACGCATAGCTGATGATTCAGTTATATAAGTGTATATATAGATTTATAGATAAGCATATGCACTTGTAGCTATCGGGCAGACTGATCAGCACTCGACGAGGATCGTTTTGCGAATGATGCATGGCCCGGCTCATGGTAATTGGCAAATAAATCGATTGTTTATTGTGCGTTTTATGGTATAAGAGTTATTGGTTCCACTTGAGTCTGTCTCCCGCTGATCAACTGACTGTGTCCGGGCCTATTTGGACAGAGCAAAGTGACCGGATCGATCAATGACCAAATGGACAAATATATGCTCCATCGATGTCGACTTCGCTCCAGGGATCTATATAAGTATAAATATGTATGCGTGTCTGGTAGCATGCAAAACTCGATCGCACAGATCCATCAATGTGCCGATAATGTCCATATCTGAACACTAAGTGGTTTGTCATAAACGATTTGCTAACGTTTCGTGAGTCCAAAACAATAAATTCTCAAGAATTTGCGCTTCTTTTATTTTTTTTATTAGATGGCACAACTATTCCATTTCCCCTAACGACCTAGATAAATAATGATAATCGTATGCACACATATATATATATATATATACATGTATATAGGCATGTATATATAATCATAATCGTATTAATCATTCTCAAGTGGCGTTCACTAATTTTGGTGAGCCGTGCGCTCTGTGACATATTTTTTAAATCGATGCTCTTCAAATAATTAATGAAAATAAAAACTAAACAAAAAGTAAAAGGAAAATCAACAAAGACATATATATATATATATATATATATAGTATCTGGAGCTGGTTGAAATATTGTGTAAGGTCGCCGTTATCTTGACAGCGGATAAAAATCGCGAGTGTTCTAATCAATGAACCCAGCCAAATGGTACGATTCTGTTGTACTTTTTTCGTATACCCTGTGCTAAATTTGAAACGATGTCGCAGGGCTATGATGTGCTTATACTAATGGTATGCCAATGCTTGGGCAGAAAGTTGTTGCTTGAAAAGTGTTTTCTTCTCTTAAGCAATTCGATTTTGTTATATGCTATATATACATATTCCGACCGATTTAATGTGTTTAGTTTATCATAATTATGAACTATCCATGAAAATTTAATATCTATTGTGATATAATATCAACCATCTCTGAATAGAATAAAAACTATAATGATATGACATAATTTTTCCCTGAATAATAACTTTTCAGATCTAGCATCAACTTTCAGTGAATAATATTATAATAATGCTGAACTAATATCAACTATTTCTGAATAACTTTATTACTATAATGAAATGATATAA